GTTACTCAAATGCTGCTGATAGGCAGCAATTTTTTTGGAGAATTAATCCCAGATTGAAAGTGGCCTCTGTTTGTCCAAGGGCAGGGATCAGAAACATCACAGAGCTAGGAGCCAAGTCCTGCACCAGCTGACAATTGGGTTTCTTCTGTGACCAACCCCCTTCTTTCCCTCATTGCCCTCCACCTACCTCTGTGAGCCCCTCTGAGAACATGGCAAGAATATGCAGAGCTGTTGCTTCAGCCTTATTAGTCTTCCCAGCCCAATACAAAAGATGCCTGGAATATTTATAAGGAAAGAAACTGGGCCTGGCTTGGTGCCCAGAGCACTGGCTGGCACTGCTTCATGTCTGCCCCACTGTATGCTATCTATCTTGTTACTAGCATGGCTTCTGGTGCTCTAGCTTCCTCCAACGTCATTGATCTCTCAGCAGGTGCCTATGCCACATCCATACCCATGTGTGTAAGTAATTAATTAATTTAACCTCACAGCATACCCATGTGGTGTGGCAGTATCATCCTCATTTTGCAGGTAATGATTGACATACCAGAACTAGGGCTAGATTTCAAAACAGATCAGAATCCAAAATTAGGACTGGATTCTCAAGGTCACATCTTCCAGTTAGGCACCAATGCAAGAGAGGCAGGAGAAAATGTTTGGATGCTGGGGGCTGAGCTGCTGGGAAAAAAATCTAGTCCCATGTAAGTCATAGAGGCATCTGGGGTAAAGCTGGAAACTGAATCACTCAGGGGCTTGGGTGCAATAACATTCAATTCCAGTGCCTTGGAAAAGCCTTGCCTGTCATCCTGCCCAGGCTTGGAGCTAGAAGTCAGCTGCAGGCATAGGGCACAGTGTGATTCTTAATTAGCTTGCTGTCAAGGAGGTGCATTTCCAGTATCCTGGCAACCCCAGCAGGACAGCAACATTACAAAAATCTCACTTTAAGCAAAAAGCCTGGGCTAGATCCTGTGCCTCTCCATGAGCTTCCTGTTAAGTATTGCACATCCCAGCTCTTACAGGCATTGACAGGAGTAGAGGGTGCACACCACTTGGCCAGATCAGGTCTTTTATTTTCCAAATGTAATTCACAGTTCTGTGTGTGATGAGACATAATGATGAGGGATCCTCCTTCCAGGAGCTGCCAAGACCCCTGGGCTGAGCAAATTGGCTGCTGAATTCTTTTAAGTTCTCTGTGTTGATAATAAACCCATCCAGCAGCCCCTCCTTCACAAAGATCAGGACAGTGCTGTGCTGTCTGCCTTTCTTGCGGCCTTGGCTGTCTGCCTTGGGGAGATGTCATATGAGATGCTGCTCTGATGGGCGTAATGAGTCCAGGGAGCAAGGAGTAGGGGGAGGAAGTTAAGAACAAAAAAGGATTTGTTTCTGCAGCTCCAACATCTTCAGTGAATGTTTATGCTTACTTGGCACCCCAGGTCTCGGAGTAGTGTTCCAGAGGAGAAAGACTCTCCTCTAAGTGCTTCTATTGCATAAGAGAAGGTGGGAGGAGGGGTGTACAGACCCTGCATATCAGCTTGCTGTCCTTGAGCAGAGAACCTGATCTCCCCCTGGTGACTCCCCTTTGCAGAGATTGAGAGGGAATCCAGTTTGACAAGTGAAGCTCTAGACATTGATAATAAGGGAACACTGTGGTATTACTTCCTCCTGGAGCTTTGGAGGAATCAGGGACCCTGACCCCTTTTCCTTCTTGAACTCTGCCCAGTTCAGTCCAGTTCTCTGATGGCTTCATGTAATGCCTTAGAAGTGGCAGTGACTGCTACCATGCTGTCCTGCTGCTGTCCTGGGAAAATGGTGACGGTCAAATCTCAGCCTGCTCACAACCAGAACCTTGGACTCGATCCAGATTCCATGGAGTTTGGCTGGCCCCTGCCCCTCCAGAGGGGAGCTGGCTGCTGTGCATAGGTTGAGCCCTAGATTCCTATATGTTGGGTAGGGGTAAATCCCAGACCAGCCTTCCCAGATAGACCTGCAAGACAAAGGCAAGTCTCTTGATGGAGCAGGATGGCAAAGCACTCTCTGCCATATGTCTGAGCTCAAATAAGAGGGGAGAGGGGTTGCTCATGGATGATTCTTGTGGCCCAAGGAGATAATTCCTGACTGGATTTCCGTGGCAGTTTAAAATTAATTCAGTCTGGCTGCTGGTTTGCTCCCCAAGCTGCTCCTTCAAGATCCTGCATAGCTATAATTGGCAGTTAAGACAGCAGGCCTATCACTAGGGGTTTAGCAGCTAATCCCCTTGGGCCCGGCAGAAGAGCCCACTTTAATCTAGCTATATTGGCTTAGGCTTTTCTTATTAAACTTCCCTTTGGCTGCTGGCAGATGCTAGCAAGCAGCACAACCAATGGCAAAGGGCTCTCCTTTCCAAGGAGAGTGCAGTCACAGACTGGGGAAGGGGAAGAGACCTGGCCCAGGGTATCCATGAGGTTCTGGGCCAGCAGGGCCTCCTCCAAGTCCAAGGACAGCATTTGGGGCAGTCTTAAGAGGCCAAGTCCTTGGCTGTATTCCGTTTTGGTAGGATCTTTCCAAATGCAGGCCCCATGTTGTACAACTAAAGTAACTGGTCATGGTTGGGCTGAGATGCATCAGCTGTGGGGGAGTGCAAGAACTTAGGCATGGAAAAGAGGGACTTTTATAACTAAGGACCTACTGAGATTGGATTTTGTGGAGTTCACAAAAAAAAAATAATCACATCAGGAAAAAAGAAGAAACCTCACTGAAAATAAAGTGCCAGCTGTCCTCAGAGTGCTGCAACAGCCCGCTGGGGCAGAGAAGGGGACTGCTGGCTTGAAGGGCTGCTGGCAAGGTGGCTGCCACCCCCACACCTCACTGCTGATTGGCTGTCATTTGGCCCCACCCTTCTCCAATTGGCAATCGGGGTGGGGCCACATGATGGCCAACACTTACAGCCAATCAGCAGTGAGGAATGGGGCCGCCAGGACCTCTTGGCCAATCAGAGGCATGAGGTAGTGTGCTGTATTCTGCCTACAAAATGGCTGTAGGGCCTGTGATTTTTGCGGGCAGCCATAGCAAGTTCAGTGGGTCCCTGTTTATAACTGGAAGGAGAGCTGATCCTGATGGGTGATGTTTTAGAGGCAGATAATTTAGCTTGCATTCCCTCTGCCCTTTCTGCATGTGGTGGGCCAGGACTTGGGCTCTTGGTGCAGTAATTACTACCCTATGGAAGAGGCAATGCATGGTCAAACAGGAAAGTGTGAGAGCACAAGAACGACCCCCAACTCAAAGTCTTTTGACACAAAAATCTCCAAGCAAAGAGGTCAGATCAGACTTGAATGATATGTGCCAGCACCTACTTGCATTTGAGGAAGTCAAGTGGGTTTCTGCACTGCTATTACATCCCATGCTTCAGCCAGTCTCCAGCTGTCAAGATAAGGATAGATGCATCTGTGGATGGATAGATAACATCTCCCTGCTGAGAGAGACTATACCAAGGGTGAGCAAAATATGGCCTACAGGCCAGATCCAGCCCACCAGGCAATTCTATTCAGCCCATAGAGCCCCTAAAAATTTAGAAAATATTTATCTGCTCCTGGCTGCCTGTCAGAGATGACAGAAGTCAGGGGCAGTAGGACCCAGGGGGAGCCAGCAGCAGGATGCAGCAGGCCAGCCCCACCCCACCCCACCCCCAGCCATTTCCCTGCCTTCCTGTTCCCTCACCATGTGGCTCCCAGTTGCATTGCCAAACTGTGGGAACACAGCACCCACGCCAGTACTCGTGTGTGTGTGTGGGGGGGCGAGTCCCACACCACACCATACACATGTACCCACATCCCTCCCTCACACTGCCATACATACAGACCCCCCACACCCACACCCCAGGCACCCTCCACTCATGCACAGCCCCTCCACAAACCCCATTCCCCACACAACTTGCCCCACAGCCCACATACCCCTACAAACCTATACCCACCCACCCCCACAATATACAAGAGTGAGACTTCATTTTAAGCTATTATATACAATCACCTCTATGTACACTACACAAACATGTAAACAAAAACATTTTTAAAATCAAATTAATGAATGTTTTAGAATATAATTTGGTATTTTTCTGGTTCCAAGATGGCAAAAACCCCTTGCTGAAAGGAGTACATTCAGGGGGCAAGGGAAGGACTTCTGGTAACAAAGGTCAGGGGTTAGGAGGCAGGA